GAGTAGGGGTATTCAAAAAGCTTGACTTATTCACACAACTCCTTTGGAGCCCAGGGGCAACAAGCGTGTCTTACATTGAAAAGGCGGCTCTATTCAGAGTGCAGGTGCGAAGTGGTGTGGCACATTCTGCCACATTATGTAAAGGTTGTTGGAGATTAGTGTTCAGACTTAATAACTAAAGCGCTTGATTTACATTGGAAAAAAGCCCCCTCATCCGTGAAAGCAAAATAATTTAACGCGTGATCATTTCGAGTGCTGCTGATATCCTAATACTTGCATTGTTCTCGGCCAAGTACTAGAGGAGCGCGGATTGATGCTTTTGGGAACCTATCATTTACAGCCAATGAACTCTGCTCAGAACTGGAGGTCTGGAGGGAAGATAAAAGAGGGACACAAGAGAAAAATTTCGCATTATGAAAAAAAAAAAAAAAGGAGAAAACAATATAAATGTGACAGTTCCCCTCCTCCCTGAGGAAGACTCCGTGCCTCCTGTCCGGTGCCAGGGCGAAGCAGCGCCCAGGTCTGCGGAGACGAAAATTGGGCTTAGGTCTCAGGCTCTTCCCTACTCCGCCTTCCCCCGTCGCAGCAGAATTACTTACCTTACTAATTATTCATATTTATGTAAATGTCATTAGTTAATGTAACTTTCTATAAAAAGATAATCAGGCGAGAACGGAGCATAGGTATTACCTTAAGTGCATTGGCTCTGGTTGTTTCATTCATATGTTAATACACGTGATGCAGTCGTGCCAGGCGTGGGGAGGGTGCAGAGGAAGGGAGAGGAGGAAGGCGAGGGAAAGAAATTAAATAATAATAACAAAGCCTCACAAAGGCTTTAAGTTTGCATCGCGGGATCAAGGAACACGATGCCTTCTGATGCGCTGAACAAAGGGGGGACCCGGCGCCGTCCCAGCCGCGGCGGCTGCCCGGGCATTCCGGCAACTTTGGGTGACTTTTTTTGTTTGTTTGTGTCCCCTCCTCTCCTGAAGGAGAATTTTATGCTTCAAACCGTTTCGATCTACCCAAATCCTCGTGCCGAGCTGAGTCCTTCAATTCCCGAAAGACCTGAATTAAAGTATCTTTGTACGGGACACGCACCAATTAAAATTGCAATACCTTTTTGCATCCCTCTTTAGTGTAAGCATTTTAGGGCCATTTCCATAAATTCTCAATGAGAATAAAGGCTATAATGGGAACAAGGTGAGAAAGCTGTTAACCATTGTTTCAGCAAGAAAAGGTCGTAAGTCAGGCAATTGGTGTCTGACCTGTCAGGATAAGGTATCAAGGCTTTATTCATGCAGTCGCTCACGATTTTCTCAGCTCTCACAAAAGGGTTTTTATGATTCTGTTTTCTTACCTCGTTCCTTAATTAAAAAGCTGAATGATTAGAATAGCACCTGCATAATGTCTGAACGACGCCTGCATACTAATTCGCGCGTCTTTACATCTAGTAATTATAACATAAAATCAGAGATTGAATAAACCAGAAGGATTTTGCCCCTAAAGCCCTGCTAATCCTCTTTTACAAGAGTCGGCTGAAATAATTCAGAACAGTTTCCGGAAGTTGGATTACCGACTCTTTTTTGACTATTTACAATGAAATGATAGTTCACACTTAAAAGAGTCTCTGTAGTTCTACAACAGGTTTTTAAAGGTGGCCTGTTTTCTAGACAATAACAATCCGGTGACTCCTTTCTCTTCCTACCCATGTTTTTTTCCTCCTACTCCCAGCAAAATCTTCATTTTTATCAAGTATATGCGAGGATGAATCGGTCCTCAGGTAGGGCTAACAAAACCTTCCCCCTTGAAACCTCCCTTTGGCTCCCCACTCCTGGACTCCCCGGAACGAGGGAAGCGGGAGGGCTGCAGGAGGGCAGCCCAGTTTTGCCCAAGTGCAGATGCATCCTGTTTCCTGGCCGCTGGCAGGAGCAGACGGTGAAGCAAGGAGCTCCCATTGCTTCATTATTGCCCGCATCCAGGGCAGAGGATAATTTAAACCAGCAGTGACTAGGCAAAAGTTGGAGACTAATTTTTTGTGTGTCTTCCCGAAACAGCTGAGAGAGATGGTGGTGTCCGCGCTTTTGTCTGACTTTCAGGGCGTCCTGTAGCAGGCATCCTCAGGGGCAGCAGCGAGGTGGGTGCGTGTAGTGGGGGAGGGGGGACGACGACAAGAGGGGGCTGCTGGGCGCTGGCAAGGCGCTCTCTGGGGATTCCCCCAGCCTGGGAGGGCGGTGCAGCCACTCAAGGTTCACCCTGGCCCTGCCGCCGAGGGCTCAACCCGGCACCCCGGGGTGGCTTCCCCAGTCCAGGTACAGCCGCAATGACAGGAAGATAGGTTTTACGACAGTATCGAGCCGATTCTGTCGGTAACTTTGACATGGGAGGAAAGAAAAAACCTCCAAACAACTAAAAATCTGCCGATTTGTTAGAGCGTCCTATTTATTTTAAGAAAAAAGTTTCCTCGTAGCCCGGTGTGCTCCAGCCTGGCCATGGGGTTGGCTGCCTCGGATGAAGAAGAAAACGTAGCTGATGCGCGGATTTCAAAACGCGCAGTTGGTGCCCGCACCCTTTGCAGCCCCGCGGGATCTCGGCGCCTGATGCAGACGAGCCAACGTGGTCCTGGCCTCAGAGCGGGATGGATCCTAATGTAGAAGAAGTTGTGAATAAAGTCAGCCTCACGGGAAGTCGTGGAGGTTTCTCTGAGCTGTTGTCATCATTAGGAACACCTTAATCTGCTGTGTCTTTTTTTTTCTTTTAACTGTTAAAGAGCTGGTTTTGCGGTGACTCCTTCTGCTTTCATAATGCAATTCTGCAAAAGCTCTAAATAATCTAGAAGAAAATGGAGTCAATGTGTCATTCGGCATTAAAAATCTAGGGGTTTTAACTAAAATCTCTAATTGCTATCCTGGCCCCATTTTAACCATGGGAACGACACACTCTGCTGGGATCTCAGAAATGTTACATATCTCTTAAGCAGGCGCTCCCCTTGTTTGTTTACTCTAGCTTACTTTCATTTATATCCCAGGAATATTATTTCAGTAGGCGACCCACGAAAAGACAAAGGGTGTAAATAAACCAACATATGGCCCAGAGGTTTTAGAGAAGCTGGAGCCGCTTAGCAAGTCATGTGGGTGATACTGGGAATCCGTCTTCTGTCCTTCCCCCACTGCCTCATAACCTCTTTCTCCCTGTGTTTTCCTTCTACCTTCTCACGACAAGACACGCTCGTGTCGCGACCGGCTTTGGGGGACCAGATGGTTTTTCCTTCGGACTGGAAAAATCTGGGCAGCGGAGGGATCGAGAGGGGTGGACGCAGGTCCGCGTGTCTGCCTCTACGTGCAGCTGGAAAAAACCCGTTGACATAAAAATGTTTGTGGGGATGTGTGTACACACACACACCAGCTCTGGACGCGGTCGCGCTCGGGTGGAGGGGCCCGACCCCGGGATGGGGCGCCGGACCGATCCGGGCCGGGCTGGGCTGGGCGGCCCCATGGGGCAGGCGGTTGGCGAGGCGCCGAGCAGGGTCGAGCAATCCGGCGCCCACAGAGACACTTGACAACCTTTTTTTGTTGTTTTCAATTGTAATCAATTTCAGGGTTTCTCTCCCAAAAAGCCTAACCGGGGCTGAGCGCCGCTCCGTCCGGGAGGTGCGGGGTATTTAGCTGCACGCTGCACCTCCTTCCCCTCTGCTTCTCCCGGTACGGCGGCGGAAACGAACCTCGGTTACTGATTCATATTTCTAATCTTCCTTTCCTGAACATACAATGTGCTTTTGTTAAATGAATGGTCTTTAATTAATGCACTTGCACAATGCAGGGCCTTGCATGGGGATCGATGATAGGAAGCAACAGGGGATGGTTCCCTCCAAAATGGTTTGTCAGCGTTGAGAAAGAAAAGGCAATGTCTATAAAAGGGCCACTAATAATGCCCACACGTCTCTCACCATGTTGTCTGAGGGGACATTCCTTCCCTTGTTGACAGTCAAGTGTAATAAGTACATGTCTTCGCTCAATCATTATAGACCATAGAATTGTATTCTTTAATTAGCATGTACTGTTAGCCCTCCTTTCCTTTATGGGCCAGTTTTTGTCTTTTACAGACCAGTAAAAATGTTTCCCTTCTTTCCTTTTTCTTGAATTCTGTTATTTCTTAAATTATTTTCTTTCTTTCTTTCTCTCTCTCCCTTCATGTAGTCAAATGTATTCTTTATTGACAATATTCCTGGCAGCCAAAGCCAACTTTTTGTCATCTCTCTGTGTTAGGCAACTTCTTTCAAGTTTTCCTTTCCCAAAAGGATTCAAGGCAGCGCATGCGCAAGGCGCCCGCCGGGTTCGGGCCGCGCTGTGCCCGAGGCTGCTCCAGCCCTCCAAACAGCAAAGCTGGGAGTTGTGTTTGTCAGGCGAGGAAAACTCTGGGCAGGTTCGAGAGCTGCGGAACCCTGTAACGTATTAACATCGATTAGGAGAATATGCGAGGCAAAGAAGGCTCGCTTTCAGATTACTTTAGCTGATGACAGAATTTGTTCTCCCTCAAAAAAACAAAAAAACACGTAAGAAAGAAAAAGGCATAAAATGCTCTAAATCCTCCTAGGAACCTTACAAGAAGTGTCACTGTGACTGGGGCTCATTGTGGCTGGGGGGGGGGGGATTCTTCAAAAGAACACTTGCATCCTGCGAAACAACAACCCCTCGGGGCGGCGGGGAGCGGCAGCCCCTCGGGGTGGCCCCGCTGAAAACTGTCGCCAATGCCCAGACTGTTAGTGACCAACATCCCCAGTGTTAGTGACCCCAGAGCCGCACGCTGACCGTGCAGGAGCCAGGATGCCACTGCAGAGGTAACCGGGACACACGCACACACACACACACCCCAGAGGGACAGAGCTCCACTTGGGTGACGCTGGTCTCTGTTTTTACACTCTACACTTTGGTCAGTGCTTAAAGTATAATTCGTTTGAAGTCTGCGATCTGAAAAATGTTGTCCCAGAAATGAAGCCACAGAACTGTTTTGTTTTGTTCTTTTAATACAAATGCCAACCTAAAACGATTAACATTAAAAAAAGGTTAAAGACCAACAAAACCCCCCACGCATTAATACTTGATTGTACACCACATTAATAGTAGATAGGTTTGGGGAAATTTTTTGTCAACTAATATGAAAACCAAGAGAAAGCCAAGGCTGATTACACAGTGTTTTAGGAATGGCTCGGTATCATCAGTATACCAACACATATTTTAAAAGTGCACATTTGTAAAAATAACCATAGAAATGAAACGTTTATAAATATTTATTGTAAAAAAATCCAAATATTAAAAATAAATAGTATGTTCAAGCACACAACAGAACATTCCTTCATTACCAAACACGTGATGAAGAAAAATAAGGAATATAAGAAGTTTGGAAAGAGATACAGCATATCAACATTGTAAATGTTTTTTTGAGAGCTACATTTTTCAGAGGCTTCTTCTCTGTACAGTTCACAAAGAATGTGCTAGATTTTCCCATAAATATGACAGGATCCAAAATTAATAACAATAATAATAATAATACCCACTCCACTGCAAATTGACTCGGTCTTTACCCAGGAAAGGTCCCATTAAATTAATGTATTGGCTTAGAATGGCAGGATTAGGCTCAGGTCATTCTGTAACAACTAAAACAGAAGTACACTGGTGAGTTACAACTTCAAGAAATTCGTATTCTGAACAGAGTATTGCATGATCTCCAATGAGAAGCTACTAAATAAAACTTGATCCGCGAATCATTTCAGTACAACACCGTTATGTTTATAAAATGAAGATACAAAAGGGATGCAGTTCAACTATCCTTACACTCACAGACAATAAAACATGAGAACATATGGAAGCCATCACTTTGAATGCATTAACAACTTCGATACATTGCACTATATACATGCTTGATAGGTGTCTGGACCGTTAAAATTATCAAAGGTTTTACTCTTATGTCTACGGTCTCGTTTTCACTCTACTGGAAAGAAAACATTTGTTGGTAACATAGTGGTGTTGCTGAAACCCAACATTTCTGCCTTCGCTCAAGATTCTCATTCTGTGCAGAGTGTGTGTAGGAATAATTTATTAGACAGAAAAGTTTGGAGGATGAAATACCAAAAAAATGGACATAATTTCAACTTTCGAACTGGAAGGTCATACAGATATCTATGGACGTTTGTACACAGACAGAGTTTCACGCAGACACAGCCACATATATCCAAATGTATGTCTATACACAGGATTCGATAGTTTGGTATTTTCTGCACCCTCTGGGCCCCTAAAGTTATCTTTAAAAGTTTGATTTTTATCTCTTTAGAAACGGTTTAAAGCTAACGGGCAGGGTGAGTTTGACAGAGAGGAGAACAAATCGCTGACAAAGAACCTTTTACGTTTCATCAGCGTTGTTAGGACGACGAGCAGGAATTTCTCAGATAATAACTCCCACTTCAAAGATTTCTCAGCTCAATAGAAATTGGACCATCCTTTTTATTCAACCACAAGGGCTGGCACTAAAGACGACTCAACTGTTTGAATTTTTTTTCCCCCGTGTTTATTTTTCCCCTATTCACTAGGGTACTTGGATAAAATAAACAACAAGACAATTACTGGAACATGGACTTCTAACTTTCCCGGGCCCATGGCCCAGCGCCCATGGCCCCGGCCATGCGGGTGTCAAGTTCCCCCGCACCGCGGAGCCTCCGCTCGGTGCCGCGAAGCGACAGCCGGGACGGGCGGGGTGTGAAGGGGGGCACGGGCAGCTCCCCCCTTGCCTCGCCCCGCTTTCCCGGGTCCTGGGGCACTTCCATGAGCACACCTACTCCCTGGGGCCAAGACAGCCCAAGGAGGGGGGTCTTTCAGTACCCATCCTATCTTCCCCTGCCGGGGGTGGAGGGGAAAAGAGAAGGAAGCAATTCTCAGGCTTTGTGGCCAGTTTTGCTGCGAGAAGCTGGTCAGAAAGGCTGAGGAGAGCGGGCGGGAGATCCCCCCGAGCCTGGGGGGTCTGTCAGTCCCCTATTTTGGGGAGAAGGAGACCGGGGCTACAGCGCCGGAAAGGAGCCTGCCTCGGGGGGAGGGCGAAGTCCAGCAAAGCCCAGCTCCGCCGAAGTGCATTAGGTGGAGGAAGTCTATCTCTAGCGGGGAGCAGATTGAGTGTATTAAGCTAGCATGAAACCAAAGGTCAGTGCAAATGTATCTTAATAGACTGTCTCAAATGGAGTGTGCCTCCTTTGAAGGCCGCTTGCTATTGCTCTCCTCATTACCATAGCGATCCTAACGTGGCATGCTGATGCACCATAAAACTCACACTTTCAACCCCAAAATCAGGCTCTTTGAACAACCCGAGCTTGATTAGACCTTTCTCCTTTTCTTTCCCCCCTTAAAAACCATTTCCTTGCCTTTAGAAACTCTCCCTCAAATCCCAAAAGCATTCTCTGATCCTGGCAGAAAGCAGAAACAAAAGTGAGCTGAGGCGACGGTTCAAGCGGGCCTTTTCTTCCTGACAGTCTTATCCATTTTTATTATGGTCTGGAACAAGTGCCCTGTTCGCGTGGGTTTTGTTTACCGGAAATTAAATGAAAATGATTTAGTTCGCGTCAAACAAAAATATATACTTGTATACACAAGAAAAAGGCCCTGTTAGACGTAAATATTATGTCCTTAATGAAAAGACTGGACGGGCTCCAGACTTCGCCTTTCACTATTTAAGTATGACTTGCCTATTGCCATAGAAATCCTAACTTACCATGAAGATTCACCGTTGTGAAGAAATACTTCTTTGTGCGAGCTTGCTTTGATGTCTAAGGCAAAAGATTCAGGCTTTCAGCTGCGTCTGTCTAGATTACCTTGAGAGCAACGGGGTAGACATCTGTAACAAGCAAATGAAAAATTAAAGGTGATTAGCCTGCACATCCAAATACTTCTGTAAATAGAGAAATAAAGAAATAAACAGATATCAGGACATCATGGAAACATCCTCCCTGCTCACATCTGGTTTCTGCACCTCTCGATTTCCGTGACACAAGTTTCGGGGGCTGTAGAGGGGCACAACTCTCCCCTGTTTAGTCTCCTCTTTTGCACATTGCTCTCGCCTAGCTAATTCCCTACGTGTATTCCCGGTAGCGACATGCTGTTGTCAGTATTCGTGGTATTTCAATACAAAAGTTGTCGCGTTTGGGTGAGTGAAGAAGGGAACACCGACTTGCTGCCGTGGGAGGAAAATACAGATGCATCAGTAAGGAAACACTGGGCGTGGGGGTGTTTTTAGTCACTGACCAGCTATTAATTTTCCTGTAGCTTTTATATTTATAGATACCAATTTACCAGTGTGTATGTGCATGTGTGTGCAGTTGTACACACACAGTAACCCCAGTCACCTGGGTGCAGAGGTGATCTGTCAGACACAAGAGGATGCGGTTACAGCAGCCTTCTGTCTGTACTCCGCAAGCCATAGAAACCCCTTCCAGCAGCCCATGCTATTTATTTGCTTACACTATCTGCTATTCTTAAACAACATTAAAGTAATTAAACCGGCACCATTCAGTAGTTTCAAGCTACCCCAGTGGATAGGTTTGGTTATTTATTTTGGGTTTTGTTTGTTTGTTTATCCCCTCCCTTATTTCTCTGAATCACTGTAGTGGACCCTGTAGGTTTGATACTCTGTGGCAGGATGGAGATGCTAAAGCCGCGCTGTGGGACCGGTTCGTTCTCATCGGGGCTACTCGCAGGGCAGATGCTCCGGAGCAGCGGCCCCGGGTCCCCGCGCTTCGGGGGGGCTGCCTGGCCCCCGCCCTGACAGTGACGTCAGAGAGTGGTCTCCCCCCACCCCGTTAGAACCCCCCCAGGAGCTTCAGCGCCCACGGTTCAACAGGAACCACATTCTGGGTGGGGACGGGCATGTTTAGGTATTAGAAGTCATTACCAGTGGGAGCTAAAATGGACAGTCAATCATCGCACCCCCCCCCGGGCCTTTCTTTATTAGCGACTACTGGGTGTGGAGGGGGAGGAAATATATATATATGTGTTTATATACAGGAAGAGGGAAAAGTGAGGAGATTCTTTACAGAAACATCCATCGAACGGGTTAATTAATCAAAGAATTTAATGGATCCATTTTGTACAAATCGGTAACAATAGTTTATATATATATATTTCTTAAAAAACACACTCTCACAGAAAATCGTGGGTGAACAGAACAGTGGCAGCACACAGTACTGTTGACAAGAAAAAATCTGTACAGCCAAAATCTGTATGAAATCACTTGGGAAGGGAAGAGAAAGGAAAGGAAAGGAAAGGAAAGGAAAGGAAAGGAAAAAGGAAAAAGGAAAAAGGAAAAAGGAAAAAGGAAAAAGGAAAAAGGAAAAAGGAAAAAGGAAAAAGGAAAAAGGAAAAAGGAAAAAGGAAAAGAAAGATGAAAAGAAAAAAGGAAAAGAAAGATGAAAAATAAAAAGGAAAAGATGCAAATCGGTTGGCTTGTAAACAGACTGGAGCAAGGCGGTCAGAGAGGGTGTGTGCGGCACGGCGGGAGGAGGTGGCAGCGCCCCGGCCGAGGCGGGCGCAGCCCTCCCGTGTGCGCGGTGCCGGGGGCGCAGGCCGGGCCCCGCCGCCGGCCCACCCGCGCGTTCCGCAGCCCAGCTCTCCCTCCACCAAGCGCTTCTCGCCGCCGCTCCCGCTCGGCTCCCCCGTGCCCGGGGCGGCGCTCCTCGGCCCGGCCGGTCCCGCCACCGCCCACGGCGCGCCCTCAGCAGCGGGGCCGGGGCCCGGCGGGGGGGCCCGGCGGCGGGGAGGCGGCGGGGGGCGCGGGGGGGCCGCGGGGCCCCGCGCCTTGACACACGTACCATTCGCTCAGGTTGGCGGCGGGCTGCGCGGGCGCGGAGGGCTCAGCGTGGGAGCAGGAGGCGGGGGGCTCTCGGCCGGAGTCCGAGGAGGGGGACACCAAGGAGGGCGTGGAGGACTCGTAGCCGGAGCTGGGAGGAGGGGATTTGCAGTGCACTTTCATGTGTTTTCTCAGGGAGCTGGGGTGGGTGTAGGACTTGTCGCAGCCTCTCACTTTGCAGTTGTAGGGCTTGTCGCTGGTGTGGACATGCGAGTGCTTCTTCCTGTCGCTGCTGTTGGCGAAGCGCCTGTCACAGCCCTCGAATTCACATTTGAACGGCTTCTCCCCTGCAGGAGGCAATGGGCGAGCACAGCCATTAGCGGCGGCGGCAGGGCCGAGAGCGACGCATCCCGGCACCTCCCCAGCCCACAGCCTCCCGGACCCCTCTCTCCGGCCCTGGCACGGCTCCTCTCCCCGCGGAGGCTCCTCTCACTGGCCTTGCCCTTTCCCGCCGGCCCCGCCGAGCATCCCCCGGAGCCGCCGCTCCGTGCCCACCCCGCTGCGAGGCCAGCTCCGCACGTAGAGCACCCTGCCCGGCCAGCTTCTCTTTCCCTGTCCCCTGCCCTGTGTGTCAACGTGGCGGTTTGTGCAAAAGACAAAGCTCCGAAACAAGGAAAACTTAAGAGGCCAAGTGCTCGTTCCGAGCAAATGTGTGCTGTCCCCGCGGACTCCGAAGTCCTGCAGAAAGAGCGGTCAGTGATTTATCCCTTCGAAGTTTTTTACATTACATTTCTCACAGTCCCCCAGGTGCAAGTGGAAATATTTTTCATAACCTGGCTGGATCACATTTCATCCACTTCTTACTTGCACTGATTACACTGCCATGGAAGATCCATATCCCCCTCCTTTTCCCCGCTCCCCGGCTTGCTGATACCGTGTGTACAGGCACAAAGTATTTCAGAAAGACATTGATTGTGGGGGCAAAACGATAAAGATTCAGCAGAAGAACGATTAGGCCGGTGCACGGCACTGTCGCGAGGGTAGGATTCCCTTTTCTTTTGAACCTATAGTCATGGAAGGAATTGCATTCGGCATTAATCTGTCTGGTAATATGATAAGTAACGTTACGCATAACAGAAATACAATCATGTTGCTGGAGTAGTGTGAAAGTTTAACCTCTAATCGTGTGGACCTGGCATGGTACACGATATACAAGAGGTTTTCAAGTAAACACGCCACAGCCAGCTTCAGGATGAAATGTTGACGGCATTATCGTCGTTGACAATAACAAACTGCAAAACTCTCTTGCCAAGGGTTACCCAGGTCCTGTACCAGCGAGTATGAAAATAACTTTCTGATCCCTCAAAAGCCAAAAAGTATCAGGAAGGAGAGGACTCCACAAAAATACACGGTCGAACCTTACCGTGAAGAGCAAACAAAGCCACTGTGTTCACCATCATGGCGTATGTGGTCAAAAGGACTTCCATTATTTGGGTTTGTGTGTTTGTTTTGGTTTGGGTTTTTAAAAAAAATTCCTGGGTTGTGCGTTCGTGGGGTTTTTTTCCCTCTTAGTTTGTCATGATTAAATTTAGGAGGGACTCAGCCCACATCGGGTTCGGCTGCGAGCAGAGGCAAATAAAGGAAGGCATTCCAAATATTTCACATGAATGCACTTTATGCAAGGTGGGTGGGAAAAGCTCACGGCTCCTCGTTTAAAGTATGTCCTTTCCGCACTGTAATAATCAATGAGGAGCACTCACATCCTGCACCCTTAACACTTGCATAGAGGATGGGTAAATACCTGGCGTTGGAAGGAAGGGGGGGAAGAGGTTAAAAATAAGGTCTCTTACAAAACCATGCGGATTCTGTAACCAAATACTGTCGACGTACAGCGGTGCAAATGCATAGACACACGCCCGCATATAATCTAATTAGAGTTTCACGTAAGGAAACAATTTGACCTTCAGCATCTAAGTTGAGACAACAAATCAAGGATATTAGTGTAGTACAAGCAAGCAGTAAGTTAGGAGACCCCAGGGAAAGCCATCCTCATAAGCACTCCGCTTGTGCAAAGTGAGTTCCATTCAGGTAAAAGAGGGCTGCGGCGCACTGTGCTTTGCCGAGAGTTGAAAAATGTTCAACTTCGCTTAACCCCCTGAAAGAGCCACTGAAAGGTCCGTCCGTGCAGCCGGGTTTCAAGTGAGAAGAGGGCAGCATTTTCTCAGCTGCCCGGGTTGCATTCCCTGAACGCCTCAATAAAGAGGAGTCATCCGAGACATTTGCAAGTATTCCTTTCGCGAGAGCAGGTTTTCTTACGTGGAAATCCCTACCCGGCAGGGAGAGGAGATTGCACAGGTCGCGGCTGCCGCAGCCCGGGCAGTGAGCTGCAGCCACGCAGAAAGTTCCGCGGGCGATGGAGACGCGTAGGACCTGAACCGCCATTTTACCCCCACACTTGTAGCTGGGCAAAAGTGTTCAGTGAAATTCAGCTTGGAATTGGTGGCATAATCCCCCGTCTCCGGGAGTGGATTAAGGTATTTACCAACTTCTCCGGGTGAGTTGTGGTGGGGGGAAGCCGGAGGCGGTGGCCTCCGGGCTGAGGGCGAGGCGCGGGGCGACGGGGGCCGCAGGGAGGGAGCGGGGCTCCGTCCCACGGCTCGCACTATTGTTCCTGGCCCTCTGGGAAGGCGGCGAAGCGATCCCAGCCCGTCCTGCTCGTCCCGCTGCCGCCGCCTTAACGGCCTTATCCTCCAACCTGGAAAACTCGCATATCACCAGATATCCCTCTGCCTGCTCCCCAGCCTCGGAGAAATCAGAAGTCATTAATATTTAAGGAGGCAATAATTTTCCTGTTGAATCTAGAACTGTCTTCATGAATAATTCGTAGTGAGTTCTATTAGGGTTTCAGAAACATTGCTTTTTTGACAACTTCTGGGTGTTTAATAGAAACGGTGGAACCATAAAGGCCCCGCAGGAGTTTGCACAATACAGCAATTAATCACCGGGAAAGTTAAAGCCAAAAGTACAGAAACGCAGAATGGTGTTTAATAAACGCAAACCTCCGATCTCGGGTTGCCCTGAACCTGCGTCTCCGATGTAGGTCAGTTTTCCCAAGAATTTAACCATTTTCTGCTTCAGAGACTTCAAACAGTGAGGCCGTTAAAGAGCAGTAAAAGTTTGTTTACTTAAGAAAAACACTGTCATTAAGAGATGAGCTCTCCCGGTTAATGGCTGTACCTGTGCTGATCCAACAAGGAACTGGCTCGGATACAAATTACGTGACCCGGGGATACCCCTTTTTCCTCGAAAAAGGGGCCGAGAAGGCAGCCGAAGAACGCAACTGTGCTATCGTCCACCTCCTCCCCCACCTCCCGCCCTGCACACAGACTTGCTCCTCATAGAGCGATGGAAAAATAATGAGGTGACGAGTGACGGTCGCTGTAAAATCTCAGTGCTATGTTTAGAAGATAGCGATACGAAATTAGTGTATGTTCTGCATATTATATCACGTCGAGCTCTATCATAAAAAATGCGACTCTTGGAAGGTCAAGCCCTGCACCGAGCATGGGGGAAGGGGAGTTTTATGAACTGGAAGGCGAAAAAAATCGTTTGGCTGTAAGCAGATCTTACAATAGGATTATGTAGTTTCCCTCGCAGTGCATAAGGCTGTACAGAAGGGGGTGGGAGGTGGAAAACCCTACACTGGAACAGATTAAATTTTCCAAAAAGGGCTTATTTCTTATCTTCTTCTTCAGAGGAAAAAAAAAAAAAAAAAAAAAAAAACAAAAAAACAACCAAAAAAAAAAACAAGCCAGTGCTACAGACTACAAACACCGGCTGCTAAACTAATTAATACAACTTCACAAGCTGCTCCTGGAAGTGTGAAAACTTTCTACGTGCAATTTCATTAATTATAAATGCTTTCCTGGCCGGAAGAGTTCAAACGTAGTTTTGCAAGATCGTCCATCGAGTTACTTTATTTTCTATTAACTAGAACTAACAGATGTTTCTGACACATGTCCCAATTTCGCTTAACAGATCTGCAAATGACATTTCAAAATGTACAGGCCGAAACAATACCAGGGTTTCTTTCCTTTTCTTTCTTTTCTTTTTTCTTCCCCCCCCCCCCCCCCATGAGAATCAGAACTTGCAGCTCCCCATATTCGCGAAGGCAGAAAGTCGTTGGAAGGCAATGCTCATTAAAAATGTCAGTGTTATTCAGATCAAACATTTGAAACTCTCCCTGCCCAAAACAGAACTGTTGAACGAAAAGGTCGCAGCTGTGTTATTCTCACAATGTTCGAGCAGCAGCATCTCAGCGACATCAGTCAAAACGGACTAGACAAGTTGTAACTTCCATTGTTCACTTTTAATTTGTGAGCTTGCACAATGATTTCAGTTTTTCCCCCGACTACTTTAAATCGGAAAAAAAAAATCCTCGCCCGTGTGAATAACCAGAAATAGTCGCTATATCACGCCATATTTATACACATCTACCCGCATAAACATTACAGCAGCCTCTCTGCACAACCAGAAAAAAATATGGACGAGAATTCTAAGATCTGCACTTGCTGTCCCCTTCCCCCCTCCTTCTCCCCCTTTTCCAAACGGTAAAGAAGAAAACAAATCGGAGAATTTATTTTCCAGAAGTGTTTGGCGTGCATTCAATAACAACTCAAAGGACACATTTAAAAAAAAAAAAGGCAAAACAGTACACTGAATAACAGAGAGAAAGAGAGTAAAGAGAGCTTTACATACTGACCTGTATGAGTTCTTTTGTGTATTTTGAGATTCTCTGATCTGGCAAACACTTTGCCACAGCCTGGGAAAGGGCAGGGGAAAGGTTTTTCACCTGTGTGGACTCTGATGTGATTTACAAGTTTATATTTGGCCTTGAAAGGTTTCCCTTCTCTTGGACACTCTTCCCAGAAACATATGTGATTGGACTGCTCGGGTCCTCCAACGTGCTCCACCGTGACATGAGTCACCAGCTCGTGCATCGTGCTGAAAGTTTTCGAGCATAATTTTTTAGGAGTCTGGTCCAACTCAATCCACTTACAGATGAGTTCCTGTTTGATGGGCTGCCTCATGTAACGAAAGAAGGCACCCGGGCCGTGGTGTGGAGCCAAGTTCACGTTCAGGTTCATACCACCGTAGTTATGAAGTGAAGAAGCAGCAAAATGATCTGTCCTGGAGGCTGGTACTTGAGTGAAATGTTCAGACCTGGCGTACATTTCTCCAGGTAACCCCAGTCTGAGCTGTCCGTTTAGATGGCCACCTGGAGCTGCATGGGGAGGCTGCTCATGGAGTCCAGTGAACAGAGAGGGATTCCCAGCTTCTGAGTGGTGGTGGTGGTGACCATGGTGTCCGGGGTAGCTACCTGTTGTTGAGACAAACAGTCCGTGGTGAGAACTTGCAGGGGGCTGCTGCTCGGTCAGCCCTGGCATGAGTGGGGCCGGCAGGTCTCTGCGTATGAAGAAGTCCCTACCTGCTGCCAGAGCCTGGGCTGGGTGAGAGACGGGGTAAGGGGCTGATGGTGACTGCGCCGGGCCAAACGCTCCCGTTTGACTAGAGACCACCTCGGCTTGGCCTGCCATATGATGATGATGATGATGATGATGATGATGGTGGTGGTGGTGGTGGAGCTGGTGGTGGGGATGAGGGGCAGGGCTGAGCTTAAGGGCCGCGGGGCGATGCTGAGGATGAGGATGGTGGCGGTGCCCCATGTGTTCTGGCCGGAGCGGCTGCGGCCCGAGGCGGCAGTCGGCGGCGTGCTCCCCCGGCTGAGTGGTGTGGGGGCGCCCGGCGAGGCCCGGGAAGCCTGTCATGCTCTGAGGGGGGTGGTGGTGGTGGCGAGGAGCCCCCGCCAAGTCTACTAATCTCAGTGCCGTTTTCCGCCTGGAGAGAGCAGCAGGGTCCATCACTGGGATCCCCAGAGCATCCACGCTCATTAGCTTCTAACGCTAAAAAGTCACCTGACAGCGGGAGGAGAGAGACACACAGAGAGGAGGGGGGCAAAAACCAACTTTTTTTCTTTTTTCCTTTCTCTCCCCCCCCCCCCCAAAAAAAAGTTTCCCAGTCCCGCTGCCCTGGCAGCGGGGGCGCACGGGCGGCGCTGCCAGCAGGCGTGCTCGGGGGGGGCTGGCGGGGCCGGGGAGGTTCCCCTGGCGCGGCCCGTCCTGCCCGGGGCCGCGGGAGCCCCTCACGGCGCGGCCGCAGCGTGCGGGCCGGGCCCGGCCCCGGCTCTTCCCCGCTCCCATTGGCCGCCGCCTCCGTGACGTCACCGGTGACAGGTCCCGCCGCCGCCTCGCAGGGTTATCGCTCCGAGCGGCGGGGGTGCGCGCCGCGCATGCGCCGCCGCCGGGCGCCCCCTTCCCCCTGAGCGGCCCGGGGGTCTCTGTCCCGGGGCCGCCCCGGCCCGACCGCGCCGCTGCGGCCGCAGGAACAAAGCCACGCTGGGCGCGGGGAGCGCCCCGGCCTTCCCCCCGCGCCTCTGCCCGTTCCCGCTGCTCTGCCCCGAGGCGTGGGGTCGCCCCCGGCAGAGCCCTGCCAGCCCCCCGGGCCCGCACAGAGCAGCGCGAGTCGAGGCGGCCCTGCCGGAGCGCTCGCGGTCCCGATCTCCCGGAGGGTCCCTGGCACTTGTTGCCAGCGCGGGGAGCGGGTCCTTCCCCGCAGAGCTCGCGGCTGGGGCCGTCCGCTCGCTGGCCGGGCATGTGCGGCCGGGAATCGGCTACCGCGCCGGTGCCGGAGCCCGGACAAAGGATCTCTGGGAGACCCCTCGTCCCCTTCCCCGCCTCTGGCAAGTTTTAGCAGTTATCTCGTTACTGGACGCCGGAGCAATGCGAGAAATCGTGATGTTCAGGCTGAATCTGAGTGTTTAACCCAGAAGAGGGAGTCTCTCTCCCTTTCCCTCTCTCTCACTTTCTCTCACGCACACTTACAGGGTAATTCTACCTAAAATCCCCATCCTTGGCTTGAAGGAAAAACATTGCCAAACATTTCTAACGGACTCGGTTCTGATGATTCTCACCTGAAAGGAATAACACGGTCTGCAGGATTTGCGTGCTAGTAATGAAAGTGTAGGTTTGGGCTTCAGCTGGATACAATGAGGCCTTATAGGTTTAGAAAAGCTTAGGGCTTCAGCACAGAAGGAAGCATCTGCTTAAGTTTTTAAGAAGAGGATTGTGAACTTAAAAAAAGTAAATGAAACATGGGGAAAGACTCTTCTGCTCCAGGAAAGAGAAACACATCTCTAAATATCTACCCACCGTATTAGCACAGTACTCGGATCATGACATAAGAACAGCTCCCCTAATAACCTCTCAGTCTTATGAAATAAAACAACGATTAATTCTCTATCCACCGTGTCAAACTATAAGTACTTTAACACATTGATTTGCTGTTAACTTGCCAGTGGATACTTTACCGGATGCATGCCAGGTAAAGCTCCCAGTGTATAATTTTGCATTTCCGTAAGAATGTAACAGTTTTGGCAATTGATAGTTTTTTTCCAACGTAGTAAAACAAGAAACGGTTTGGCAATATCAACCCAGCTACTTTCATAACAGAAGCTACCAGCCAATGATTGGAAACCATAAGATTAAAGAGTAGGACATACATAACCATATAGGGGATATTTTTTCACAGCTTCACATACTGAGTTGGCTGTAATTTTGGCTCTGCTTGCATTTACCATATTTCCTCTGTAACACAAGGCTGATATGCAGGTAGGTAGCCATAGATACATCCTTGCGTGCATCTTTCTGAGTGGAGATGATGAAAAGTGACAAATGATGCAATTAGCTCTCCATCCTTACATAACATGTTTACGCAGGCAATTTAAACCACACACCATCCTCACAATATCTCAACTTTCTAGTCTACTTGCTCTACGAAATGGATTTGACAGTCCTATTCATGACCATCTCAATAGGAGTGCACGGAAGAGACAAACGTTAGGAAGTATGAATCTGTTACTTACAAATGTACTGAGAGTGGGAATCCCAAATAAAGCTGCTTTCCTCATACCTCTTTAAAACACTGCATCTCTACATACTTGTTATCCATCATTTGACACTTCTCAGTCAAGTGAGAAAACATCTGGAACAGTTTGTCAATTAAAAAAAAATGTCATAACCGGTTTGCCCTAAGTTCATTTCAAATGTTGTGATGATTTCTCGCCAGACACTCATGGCTCTCAGCTTGCCCCTCACTCAGGGATGTCTCTCACACCCTTTCTCAGGCAGTGCAAGAGAACCTGGCCCTCGGTGTCCCTCACTGTTAGGTGAGGTTGGTGTGAGCCCCGGTTGCGTGGGTGGGGGGAGTGGGGCGGAGGCCGCCACATGATTGCAGGAGGCGGAGAAACGGGGAAGAGGAGGGAAGCGGGCCCAGACCCGGCCGGGCTCGGCGCATCTCCCACACTGTTTTGAAAACTGCCTGTCTGTGCAGACCTTTGGCAGCTCGAGCTCATACTGCTGCCACTAGAGAGGTGACCGAGGTCTCCTGCTTCTTGGCAGCGGCCTGAGCCGTGATTGACCAGACATGCCGGGCTCTCGGCAAACTCTCAAATGTGTCAACATCAGGTTCTGCAGGGTCAATAAACTGGCAGCTTGATCCTGAGTACAAATTTTCCTGTTGCTGCTGTGTCTGCGACTCCGTCTGCAGCCCCCGGCCCCAAAGCTCACCCGTGCTGGACGGTTGCTCTAAAGAGGTGATATGTTGTACAGACGAGTCACAAGCGTTTCTCGTCCCTCCAGCCGTCTGCCCCTGCGTCCGACTCGGCTCTCTCGGGGGAGAGGCTGGCCGGACAACCGCCGGGAAAAGGCAGGAGCCCCGCACGTCGGGGCTGTGCCCTGGGAGAGGGGCTGAGCTGTCTCCCTGCTTTCCGCCCTGCCATGCCGGACCCAGATCTCCACCTGCCCACATCTCGGGGGTGTGGGGCCGAGGCGGGCAGCCCCAACCCTTCGGCCTCTATGTGCACGCACCCCCGCTCCGCGCCAGGTTGCCGGGCCTGCGGCGTGAAAACGGCTGCACGTCTCCTTGCTGGGAGGGAACAGCCCCACCTGCTCAACGGCTTTAACTTTGCCTTGGTTTTTGGTAGGAATCTACCTCCACATCAAGACTCTTCCTATTTCTAACAGAAGACAGAGCCAAATCCTGCTCTCCCTTATAATCGTGCTCAGTGCAAGGCACAGCTCCTGCCCACGGGAAACATCGGAGAGAGCAAAATCTGACCTTTACTCGCCTCATGTTCTCCCACTTCCGCCTTTGCAGAAACTTCCCCACGAGCCAGCTAGAAACTATCCAGCCTGTACTCGAGGGCTGGGATGGAACAGGACGCTCTGAACACTTCAGACAGGCATTCGGGGGGTTATCTTTAGGCTTCAACTCCCAAACGAGAGGAGGTGAGCGGATCAATCTGAAAAAACCCTAATCTTTACTGCGAGAAAGGAAAAAAACCCGAAGAACAGAAACAGAGAGGACAGAGAAGTCACTCTATGCAATTCCTTATCCCCTAAACCCACACTGGGTAGGAAAGGATGAAGGAGGAAGACTCAGGACATGAGCCTGAGTCTCTGCCTGCCCCGGCAGAAGGCACTGCTGGTTAGTAAGAGGTGGTTCAAGAAAGGTTTTCAGCAAACCCATCCTCACCTCAGAGAGGAGAGGGTGCCTAGTAGCTCGAGAGCACACTCTGCCTTTGTTTTTATTCCCTCGTCCCATTCCTGCTTACGGGGAGTTCTTTACTTCAGGGTTCCCGGACAATGGGAAGCCACCTACCAGACAAGCAACGGTTTGTGCCTAGGTTTGCCTCTCACATTTTGTGACCTAGAGCTACCCTAGGACAAGCAAATCATATGCTTATTTTAAATAGAATATTTCATTCAGGACCTCAAGATTAAGGTATTCCTGTCAGATAAGCTGTCAGTCACTAACTACTTAGACACCACATTGTGGAAGCCTGGTATCCCTGGTAAAGATGATACATATCATGTAAACCCCATCAACAAGATCAAAGTCTTCTTCTTTAATAGGATCCAATACATGTCAAACCTCATTCCAATCAAATCGTCCGTAAATGAATTCAAGATGAATATGTCATAGAATAATGTGACAGTGCAATCACATGGGGTCAGGGGTTGTTGTTTCAATGAGAGAGTCGTCAAATATTAATTCTAGAACCCGCAAATGAATAGGCATTGAGCAGGATTAGGCAGCTGCTGGTGGGGAGTTCTGTCGCTGATTTGTGTTTATGCAAGTACGTTAAACACTAAGCTGAAAAAAATAGTCTCCTTTGAACTGTAAAAAGGACATATTTTAACTTACTTGACTTTTCCAGGATGTTTCTGTAAAGTCGTTTTCTTTTCCTCATTACAAGGGGAGTCTTGTGCCTCATTTCCTGACTTTGTTCCTGTTTGGGGAGAGAGGTGGAAAGTTAAGAGCAAAACCATTTGTGTGTGATATGAAATGAGTAAGGCACTATATGTCTTGGGCATCATGCATTCAAAAAGAAAAGGAAAAAAAAAAGCAGAAAAACATAAAACCAAACCAAAACACAAGTTAGGCAGTAAGAGGGGAAGAGAAGCTTTCTCCGAGGGGAAACTGGAGGCTGTCTCCTCAGCAAAGCAGCACATGTTTTATGGAGTCATGAAGTTTCCATGGCTGATTTAGGGAAAAAAAATATGAAAGGACATCTTTTCAGTTCTCCTTTGATCTGACATTCACCTTCTGGCAGGCTATTGTAAGGGAGGTTTTTTACCACCTCGACTATATTGTTTACAGATCCTTCCCTCCCGAAAATAAATTCCGGACTCTCTGCGAGCCTCCAACACAAGTTGTTGTCTCAGCAAGGATTAGTATAGTACCACCCTGGCACTTCTCCCTGCCTATAATTTTCAGCTTGCTCTTTGCTCTCTGCAAGGCAGAGCACTGCCACTGCTGCAGGCAGAACTTTGCACAGCTTGCTTTGAGCGGCAGCAATAGCCCTGAGAGCAGATCTGGGGTTGGACGCAGTGTCCGAGTATGAATTTTTACAGATATCTTTGAAATTCTCAGGCGTTGGTTTGTTTGTTTTTAATACAGAAAAGCATGCTAGGGTCTAGAATCAGTTACTTCAAGTGCTATTATTGTTATTACTCTTGCTACTATTATTATAGGGAACTC